AATGAGATCCGAGAGATTGATACTAATCCAACATTCTGTTTGATTCGGATTTCTGATTAAGTATTCGTAATTAGGGTTGAATCAGTATCATGTTTGAAATTCGGGTTTTTCTGATGTTCATTCAGCATTCCGTTTTCGGCATTCTGTTGTAAATCCTATATTTCGTTTTCTGTTGWGATTTCCGTTGTCTTKCAGTMTGGGAATTAGGGTTRTGAAAATCTTTTGGTTTTAGATCAACTTGGGGAAACCCGAACGTTTTGGGACCGTAAATCCGGAAATTTCGCCGAAACGCGGAAATTAGGGTTGGGACCGAAATTTTTGCGATTTTTTTTTTTCGTTCTCCTTGTTTGAGAAATTCCGAAAATAGGTTTAGGCTTTTAAAAATCGGATTTTGATGGTGGGAATTCCCGAAAATTCGCATTTTTGAAAATTCGAGCGTTTTTCTTCTGAAATTTTCCGAAAATCTTTTAGCACACTAAGCCGTATCTGACCTTAAATTGCAACTACCGGGCAGTTCACTTATTAAACGGTGAATTCCCGGTCTCATATTGATCTCAAAGAGACCTAATCATAATACCTTTCAAATTCGTATCATTAATTGGTTATCTTTATTTACAAACATTGTTTTACTGATTATCATTAATTGGTTATCTTTATTTACAAACATTGTTTTACTGATTATCAATAATTGGTTATCTTTATTACAAACATTGTTTACTGATTATAATTCGGATTTATTTCGTTAATTATCATTAATTAATTTTATTGATTAAATCGTTATAAATTCCTTATTATGAATTTTTTGAAGGGTTTACGGGAAATTTATTTTTTTCGGTTTGATTAGGTGTCTACAGTCCATCAGTGGGACAGGGGATTGTATGTATATTGCTTGATTGTTCTACCCCTGTTCCCACTCTCCCTAACCCCCGTGTTCTGTGATTACTGGGACTTCTCAAGTACCGCATCGGTTCAGACTGATGTCGACGGGACAGGACACCGGGGCACTGCCACGACGCAGTGCCAGAATCGCAGTTCGCGCCCGCCCTGCAGTACCTCCAAGACCGAAGAAACTCAGCAGACGGAGGACTCCAGCAGCATTAAGTACGGCATTGACGGTACAAGACGCCACCAGAGATCATCCCGCATACCCAGTCCGAGGAGCCAATGAGCCAGCGGCTGATTATCGTGGGCGGCTACTGGCATTTACGGAAGCCGTAGCTGCCGTCGAGGCCCGGAAGGAGACAGCAGAGGCAAAACGTCAGCGGCTAGCCAATGAAGCGGCAGCCGAAGCTCAGCGAACGACTGAGACTGACGCAG